GGGCACTAACTCACAGGCATAATTTTTTTTTTATTTTTTGAGACGGAGTCGCGTTCCATCGCCCAGGCTGGAGTGCAGTGACATGATTTGCACTCACTGCAACCTCCACCTCCTGAGTTCAAGCAATTCTCCTGCCTTAGCCTCTCGAGTAGCTGGGACTGCAGGCGTGTGCCACCATGCCCAACTAATGTTGTATTTTTAGTAGAGATGGAGTTTCACCATGTATGTTGGCCAGGCTGGTCTCGAACTCCTGACCTCAAGTGATCCGCCCACCTTGGCCTCCCAAAGTGCTGGCATTATAGTCATGAGCCACCATGCTGGGTCTCACAGGCATAATTGTGAGGCTTAAATGAAATAGGGCATGCATGTGGCCCAACACAAGGTCAGCCGTTCAGGGTCCATGGGGGCCTCGCCTGCCTCACTGCTCCCGGAGGACACTCTAGGGGAGACTCAAGGACACGGGGAGGGGTATGCTGAGTGCTCCTGTGGCCCTGCCTCTCCACAGCTGCCTTGCGAAGACCAGATCATCCTCCTGAAGGGGTGCTGCATGGAGATCATGTCCCTGCGGGCGGCTGTCCGCTACGACCCTGAGAGTGACACCCTGACGCTGAGTGGGGAGATGGCCGTCAAGCGGGAGCAGCTCAAGAATGGCGGCCTGGGCGTAGTCTCCGACGCCATCTTTGAACTGGGCAAGTCACTCTCTGCCTTTAACCTGGATGACACGGAAGTGGCTCTGCTGCAGGCTGTGCTGCTAATGTCAACAGGTACCTGCTGATTGGCCGGGAGGGCTCAGAAGCTTCCAGGGGTCCCAGAGATTGGCTGGACCCTGGGCCTGTTGCTCAACTCCCTCCTGAATCTTCTTCCGGGCTACCTCTCTGTCACCTAGGCCATCCCCTGTCCGCTGTCCCTTGCTCTGTCACCCACCTACTTCTCACTTGTTCCCCTTGCCTCCCCATCCCTGTTCTGTGCATTTTCCTGTCTTTGTTTCCTTCCTCCTCTCTGCCCCCATCCTCTGTCACTTGCATTCCCCTTTGTTCCCCACTCCCCACTTTGTTCTCAACCACCTTCCATCCCCCATCCCTCCTCTGTCCCCCAGTCCCATCTCTTACCCCTCAGTCCCCTCCCTACCCCCATCAGCACCCTGCCTCTCTAACTACCAACCCCAGTCCTCCCCTCTCCAAGGCTCCTCTCTCTGCCCCAGCCCCCGGCCTGTCCCTCTGTCCTCCTTGCGTTGCCCCATCCCCCCAGCTCCCCCCTGGCCCTCTCCACTTCCCAGCTGCCTCCCTCTGCCTGCGCTTCTCCTGCCCATGTCCCTCAGGGGGAGCTTCTCCCCTCCCCTCCCCCATCCTCTCCGCTTCTATCTCCCCTCTAGTCCTTTCTTCCCCCCGCCCCACACCTCACCCTCCCCACCTCCACGCCTTCGGCCGACCCCACGCCCCTCACGCCCCTCTTCTCCCACAGACCGCTCGGGCCTGCTGTGTGTGGACAAGATAGAGAAGAGTCAGGAGGCGTACCTGCTGGCGTTCGAGCACTACGTCAACCACCGCAAACACAACATTCCGCACTTCTGGCCCAAGCTGCTGATGAAGGTGACTGACCTCCGCATGATCGGGGCCTGCCACGCCAGCCGCTTCCTCCACATGAAAGTCGAGTGCCCCACCGAACTCTTCCCCCCACTCTTCCTCGAGGTCTTTGAGGATCAGGAAGTCTAAAGCCTCAGGCGGCCAGAGGGTGTGCGGAGCTGGTGGGGAGGAGCCTGGAGAGAAGGGGCAGAGCTGGGGGCTGAGGGAGACCCCCCCACACCCCTTCTCTCCTTCCTCTCGTCCTTGGATAGATTCAGCTCCCACACACACACCCGCACTGCCCAGGTCCCTCCTCAGACCTCCAGCCCTGGGACAGGGCAAACAAATGAACTTGCTATGGAAAGGACAGTGTGGGAGGCTGGGGGAGCCGTGTCCTGCAGTTCCCAGGACCCCGTCCTCTCAGAAGGTAGGGGAAGGGTGGGAGGACTGAGAGGAGACAAGCCACCTTGACTGTAGGGGAAGGAGGAATGTGGGCTGGGGGAAGGTGCCCTCAACTCACGCCCTACACACACAAGAGAGAGCCCCCACCCAGTTCCTTGGCCTAGGTCTCCCCTCCAGGCTGAGGGCCTCTCTACTTCCCCAGATGCCTGGGTGCAAAGAACCGCTTGGCTTGGCTCCTCCCCTGGAGGTTAAAATTTATAGTCATTCTAACTGCACTTTGGAAACCAAGCAAGGGGAGAAGACAAATGAAGAAAAACTAGACAGAGAGAAAAATACGAAAAAGAGAGAGCGAGCGATAGAGAGAGATGATATTAAGTTATTAACTGAGGCTGACCAGAGGGGAGAGACCCCCCCCTTTACCACCCCATGCACTTTGTGAGCTGCCCTCCTTCCCCCACATCAGAGAGGAATGCCCCCACACCAGAGCCCCAAGGGTAGGGCTGCCGATCAGAGCTGTGAGTTAACACAACAGGGTCCTGGCCACCCCCCTTGCCGTACCCCACCCTCTGTGCCCCTTTGGCACCCCCCAACCCTAGTATGTCCTCGCTTTCTGCCACTCGTGCCCGCTGAGTTCCATCTACCTCTCACGCTGGATGCCAGCTGGCCCCTCACCAGCCTGCCCTGCTGCCCACACAGCTCCCCTTTAAGTGCCCAGCCCTAGGGGCCTCTCCCCATCCACCTCCTCCTTCCACACCTTGGCACCCACCCAGGAAAAACTGTGGCTCCAGCTCCTACCCTCCTCATATCCTGCAGTATTAGCTAGAAACCGGATGCTGCTGCATTGGGTGGTGGTGGGGAGGGCAGGAGGGCTGTGCGTGAGCGTCTCCCAGAACCCTCCACCCTTTTAGCACTCTGTTTCCCTGTTTCCCATCTGTCTTCTGGGCTCTCTCTAACCTCTGCTCTCTCCCCTGCTCCTACTCACTGCACTAACTCTGGGCGGGCAGGCATCGGAATGGGGGTGTTGAGATAAGTGACACTTAGTTGGGGCCCCATGGGAGGGGGTGGTCGGTGCTCCTTTTTCTTTAAAGCTCTTTTGGCCAGCTGCCCCTCTGCCCCAGGACCCCTTCCCCTCTTCTTTTCTCTAATTCAGGGACTTTGGCTTGAGCCCCTCTCACCCTCCTGGTGAGGGTGCTCTGTTGGTCTGCACTTGGGTGAGCTGCCCTCCTCCCCCTCCCTGTGGCTGCCGCCCACTCCTCAGGGGAGAGAGGGAGAGAGGAGGTGGTCCTCCCATGGGAGCAGGAGGTGGGGGTGGGACAGAGCAGACCAGAGGGCGCTGGGCTCAGGGCTGCATGTCGGCAGGGATGGATGGGTGGACACAGATGCCCCCGGAAGCCATGGGGATTGGGGCAGGGGGTGGGGGGAGGGGTGCCAGGGCTTCCTGCGCTTTGCACTATTGGGGCAAAAATGTCTTAAGCAGTGGGGAACCTGCCACCCCACCCTGACTCTCAGCCTGCCACAGCCCCCTACACACACACACACACACACACGTACATGCACACACGGACATGGGAAGGCAATGCTATGCTGCCCGTTAGGGCACTGTCCTTTCCCCATCGGTCAGGTGTTCCAACAGGGGTGGAGGGCCTAGAGGAGCACCCACTGTCACCTGTGCATGTTCCTGTCCCACCCTGCTGGGGCCTCGGGCTGCCTGCGCTGTCTTTGTCTCTATCCTCTCTCTCTCCTGGAGTACTGATTCCTGTATTACTCCAGTTCCATGGGTAGGCCCTCTTGTACCTTCCTCCCACGCCTGGGGGCCCAGTGGAATTCCTGACCTGTCTGCTGTCTTCCCCATCCCTCCATCCCCATCCCAACCCCTCCATCCCCATTCTCAGCCATGGACACGGCAGAGAAAAGGCCTTGAAGAGCCTTGGCCTCTTATAGGCACTTGGGACTCCCCTACCCTCCCCAATCATATGAGCTGTGATTCCCCTCCCCCTCGGTGATGTGGGGTGTATGTGTGTGTTCCTCTGCGTGAATGTGTGAGTGAGTACACATGGTAGGGGAGGAGCCAGGGCGACTCAGGAGTGCCACGCACCTGCTCTAGAGCGGCAGCTGTCCCAGTCCCTGCTGTGGAAGTGGGGGACAGGGCCCTCTCCTGGGGGCCATTGGTGCTAATGAGGGGGATGGCCTTGATGTGGGTGCTCAGCATGCCTCCCCCAGTATTGGCCCGGGGCACTAGGGCAGGCAGGGTGGAGCAGCAGGTGCAGTATCGGTGGGAGGACGGGTTGCTGGGAATAGGACGAGGGGGCCAGGCCAGGACAAGGGGGTGCCAGAGCCATGACCACTACCCCGCCCCCACCACCCGCCTCTCCATCTCAGTATTGCCCCTCCCATCACTCATAACACACATACCTCATCCAGCCTCCTCCCTGCTCAGACTTGGGGAGGGTGGGGGAGGAGCCCCTGCCCCTTCTCCTGGTGGCGGGTCTGCAGAGCTGGGAGAGGGCAGGGCGTGTGACAGAGACACCGTCCATAAGGAGGACAGTAACTCCTGCCCTGGGAACTCCTGGGCAGCGGGGAGGGGGACACTGCCCAGAGGCGCTACTGAATGTATGAGAAGCTGGTGCTGGGCTTGGGGGAGGGGAGTTGTGGCCAGACACAGGGAAGGAGGTAGGTCTTTTCCCCAGGGAGGGGTGGGACCGGCAGGGGTGACTTGAGGGGCTCCTACTCCTGCCCCACATTGACAATCAGTATGTCTGTTATGTGCGATTTTTCACCCCGTTGTGTTTTGGGTCAGGATTTTAAAGAAAGATATTTTTATGGTAATTGTTGCTCGTCTATTTTACTATATATTTATGTAATAAATATATGATGAAAATAACCCCCTTGGGCACCCCCCTTAGACTTGTGTGCTGTTTCCCTATATCCTCCCATCTGCTGGCAGAGTACCCACCCCACAAACTGACCAGATGGAGAGGTGGCCCCCCCAGCCTTGGCAGTATTTCCACCCCACCCCCCAAACGAGCACACACCACAGAAGCCAGCTCAGCTGTGAACTCTTGGATTTGAGACAGGAACAGAACAAATCAGGGGGCCAGGGGAGGGCTGTGGGGGAGAGAGAGTGGTTTAAATAGGGGAGGGGGGGAAGTTCGGTGATGGGGGAGGGAGGCAGGTATTTACAAGAAGGCTCAGGGGGCCAGAGGCTCATCTTGGAATATTTTATAACAATATAAATAAGATTCTGGTTTGCTTTTCCTTTTCGTCTCGTAAAGGAGAGAGAAGTGCAGAGTTCGATTCTGTACAAGGGGGCAGCGGCAGAAGGCCGGCCGGGCGGGTCACTGGGCGTCCACCCGGAAGGACAGCAGCTTCTCGGAATGCATGTTGTTCAGGGTCCGCAGGTCCGGCAGCTTGAGCAGCAGCTTGGTGAAGCGGGAAGTCTCCAAGGGCCGGTTCTTCAGCACCAGAGCCCGAAGAGCCCGCAGCAGCGTCTCCTGGAGCTGCTCCACCGAAGCGGAATTCTCCATGCCCGAGCGGTCTGTGGGGAAGACGACAGCAGTGAGGCGGACTCCCCGAGCTCCTCTGACGAGGAACCGGAGGTCTGCGAGGACCTGGCAGGCAATGCAGCCTCTCCCTGAAGCCCCCCCGAGGGCCGATGGGTAAGGAGAAGGAGTGCTGTACCTTCTCACAGGCCTCTGCCCCGAGAGCAGATGCCTGAAAGCTGGGAGCGTGGGCTCAGCAGGGCTGGTCACCTCCCATCCTGTAAGACCACCTTCCCTTCCTCAACAGGCCGAACGTGGCCAGGCTCCCTTGCTTTTTGCTGTGTAGTTCCCTCTGCCTGGGATGCCCTTCCCCCTTTCTCTGCCTGGCAACATCTTACTTGTCCTTTGAGGCCCCAACTCAAGTGTCACCTCCTTCCCCAGCTCCCCCAGGCAGAAATAGTTGTCTGTGCTTCCTTGGTTCATGCTTCTACTGTGACACTTATCTCACTGTTTTATAATTAGTCGGGCATGAGTCTGTTTCCCAAGCTAGACTGTGTCTGAATCATGTCTGTATCCCCAGTGCCCAGTGCAGGGCCTGGCATAGAATAGGTACTCCATAAAAGGTGTGTTGAATTGAACTGCGTCTGCCTCCTCCCCCGGGTCAGGCGAGAGCCTGACCTACCTGCAGAGACAAGCACCACCGCGGTGAAGAGGCCCAGCTCCTCCTCGGTAAGCGCCAGGGAGTTGAGCTTCTCGCTGAAGTCGAACATGGCATTGAGCAGGTCTCCCATGCCCATGGCACCAAGCTCCTGCAGGCTGTAGGTGGTGCGGCTTAGGAACATCACTGTCTGGTCCTTGACGTTGAACAATGATGCAAAGCGCACCATCAGCACCTAGAGGGGGAGTGGGAACAGTCAACCTGGGTGGGGTGGGAGGAGCACTGACCAAATCGCCCCTGTAGTTTGCCAAAGGGTTTAGTGGTGCTGCCTTCGATTTCTCAGTAGAGTGGGGGTTGTTTCTGAATGGGCAATGAGGGAGCCCAGGTGGAAGGATGGCTTTGGGATCCAATAACGCTGAATCTGAGTGTCAGCTTTGTTATTACCTGTGACCTTGGGCAAGGCATTCACCAAAGTTAACTTGCTCTTGTCTAGAATGGGGGCAACAGTGTACCCAAGGCATTATTTCAGTGTAATGGGTTGTGATTAAATTCCAGCTGAGATGACAGAAGTCCCAGCCATCCAGAGACAGCAGCAGGAGCAGCTCAGCCCCTTCCACCAATCAGAGGCCATAAGGACAAAGATACTGGGTTCTAAAACCTTTCAGAGGTCCTGCCCACCCCAGACACCAAGGCCTTCTGCTGGATCCTTCCCAAGGTCAAAACAGGAAGTGGGCCAGGCGCGGTGGCTCAAGCCTGTAATCCCAGCACTTTGGGAGGCCGAGACGGGCAGATCACGAGGTCAGGAGATCGAGACCATCCTGGCAAACATGGTGAAACCCCGTCTCTACTAAATAGTACAAAAAAACTAGCTGGGCGAGGTGGCGGGCGCCTGTAGTCCCAGCTACTCGGGAGGCTGAGGCAGGAGAATGGCGTAAACCCGGGAGGCAGAGCTTGCAGTGAGCTGAGATCCGGCCACTGCACTCCAGCCTGGGCAACAGAGCGAGACTCCGTCTCAAAAAAAAAAAAAAAAAAAACAAAACAAAAAACAGGAAGTGGCTGGGTACAGTGGCTCACGCCTGTAATCCCAATACTTTGGAAGTCCAAGGCGGGTGGATCACCTGGGGTCAGGAGTTCGAGACCAGCCTGGCCAACATGGCGAAACCCTGTCTCTACTAAAAATGTAAAAATTAGCCAAGTGTGGTGGCGGGCACCTGTAATCCCAGCTACTCGGGAGGCTGAGGTAGGAGAATCGCTTGAACCCAGGAGTTGGAGGTTGCAGTGAGTGGAGGTCGCACCATTCTACTCCAGCCTGGGCAATGAGCAAAACTCCGTCTCAAAAAAACAACCAACCAAAAAAAACAGGAAGCATAAATGGTCACTCACCTCAAAAGTGCCAGCCTTAAGCAGGGTGACTTGGTCGTGCTGAGAAAGGTCACGGAAGCCCGGGATGTGCTTGGCAAACTCTACCACCTCCCGCACAGCGGGCGTGAAGCTCATGGAGAAATCTTCCCAGATCTCCTGCACCGTTCGTCCACTGCGTCCGTGCGGGTACATGTTCATAGGACATGCCTGGGGGAGGAAAGGATTGAGGGACCCGAGTGTCAGCCAGGCTGGGTCAGATGGACGCCCCAAGCAGAGCTGGACCCCAGATTCTGCCTGGGCTAGAGGCTGTGGCCCTGGAGGATGGGTCTTTCAGATAAAGTAGCAATTAGGTGCCAGGTGGAGATCAGGGATTCCCAGGCAGAGCCCAGACTGCAAGGCAAGACATTCTCTCCTGGGAAGAGGCTATCCCCACCTTCAGCCTCCAGGAGCCCCCAGCTGCCTTCCACTAAGTCCATTCTGCCAAGCTCCCCCGACCTTCTTAACGCACCCGCCCGCCCCCATGCCCTTACCAGCAGAACATTCTTGGAGTTACCCTGCCGGGGATTGTTGGCAGGTGCCTTGCTTTCTGGGGCTGCATACACGTGGGTGGGGCATAGACGGTGCCCGTTGCTGTTGGACTGGTGGCAGCTGTGGTGTGCAGGGCCGGGAGGCCAGGTGGGAGGGTAGGAGGAGGGGGCCTGGCGCAGACCATTTAGGGCCTCGTTATGACGCTGGGCAGCCAAGGTGTTGTTGTCATTGGGGGCAGGTGGGCAGCCCTGATTTTCCCAGCGATGCGGGGTGGTGGCTGGAGGGCTACCTGATGCATGGTTGGCATTAAAGTTGCCAGGTGAGCTGCCCAGCTTGTCATGGGCGTAGGTGAAGATCTCTCGATGGGCCCGGGCCACCTGGGATATCACATCCTCCACTGTGGGCTCGGGGCTTGGGGATCTGGGAGGCGTCAGCTGTTGTGGGAACTGGGAGAAGCCCACCAGGGGTGAGGGGACTGGAGCAGGGGGTGGCGAGGGGCCCATGGAGCCTGGGGTGGGGTGCTGGGTGGGTGAAGTCTCCAGCGGGCACTGGCTGCTCAACTGGTTGTTGGCCAGGTTCATGGCACTCTGCATCTCAGCAAGCATCCGCTGCTTCTCTCGTTTGGGGATGCGCCCAAAACGCACAGCTGCAACAGGATGAGAACAGCGTCAGGAAGTTCTCAGTCACACTCACGTGCTTCTCTTCCTTCCTTCCTCCTGAAAGGGCAAGGCTCTGAAGGCTTGGGGTTTCACATCAAAACTAAAACCAGCAAGGCCACGCCCATCGAGGGGGTTTCCCTAGGAGGGATTGTTGGTAGGAGGTGACCCGAGGGACCAATGGGATAGAAGTGTATGTTGACCCAAGCGGATGAAGGATGGACATCCCCTGTGCAAATGTGATTCACAGTATGATGTGTCTCCATTTGTGACTTTTTTAAAGGGAAAGATTAATTCAGAAACTTTGGGCAGAAAAAAGGGGGAGGATGTGGGGATGCTGCCTCACCGTCTCGAGACATGCCCACGGAGAGACACTTCTTGAAGCGACATTGCTGGCAGCGGTTGCGATTGATGCGGACGATGGAGCAATTCTCATTCTTCAGACACCTTTTGTACTGGATATTCTGCTGGATGCTCCGACGGAAAAAGCCCTGGAGGGCAGGGGCGGTTAGTGACCACCTCCGTCATGGCTGGGCCTCTGTGTCCAGGGGGAGGGGGCCACCTGCCCCTGCCCTTACCCCCAGTCCGCCTCACCTTGCAGCCCTCACAGGCGTGCACGCCATAGTGGAAGCCCGAGGCAACGTCCCCACACACTTTACACAGTAACACCATGCCATTCAACTCTGTGAAAGAGACGGGCAGCAGGTGAGCAGGAGAGGCCAGGCTGAGTGGCCAGAGGTGTGGAAAGCTTTCTGGGCTGGAGATCCAGGGAGGGAAAAGCTAAGGAGGAACTCCAGTGTTGAGGGGCACTGGAGTGACAAGACTGGGCTGAAGAGGGGCTGGTGCCACTCTAGGAGAAATCCCTGAAGCCAGAATAGGCTCTGGCGAGACTGGTGTCACATAAAAACCCATTCCCAATCTGGCCCTGGCCTGCTTCCCTTCCCCCGAAATCAGCTGGAAAAGTACTCACTGGTGATGTTGCTGCAGCTCTTGCTGGGGGACACTCGGCTGCTGTCCTCCATGGCCACTTGTAGACTCCCTGGGGGGCTCCCATTATAGAAAGAGGAGGATGACGACGAGGAAGATGAGGAAGAAGGGGAGCCATCATCACTCAGGCTGGCTGCAATGCTCCCAAAGGAGCGAGCTGGGTCTTGAGTGAGGGAGCCAGTGGGGGACGGTGGGAAGTACGTGGGACAGCCTTGCGTCAGGGACTGGAAGCTGCCATTGGAGTTGTCACTATAGAGGGATTCAGGGCTGGTGCGGCTCGGGGAGGAGCCACTGGAGCCAATGTAGGTGATGACGCCACCTGGGGGAGAACAAAAGGGAAGGGGGTGTCAGCCGCCATGTCTCTGGACCTAGGGTGCCACTGTGCTCATCGCCACCTGTCTGCCCAAAACACTGCTGGCCACTCAGTTCACCGTGTGGAGCCCCTAATCTTGGAGTTAATAAGCAATTCCCCAACACACAGTAGACATGGCATGGCCAAGCAACACCCACAACCCTTTCCAGGACACGTTCAGCTTCTGCTTTGAATGTGAGGCGTGACCCCTGTGGCATCTCGCATATGTGCCCCCTTCCCTATATGCCTTCCTTGGGAATATCGACTGCAACTAATGACTTAGTTGTCAATTGAAGATTGGGGGATGGGCAGCTGAGCGCCATTCAAAGTGCTCAGTCCTCCAAAAACAAAAACCCAGCTGCTGATTTTAATACTGAGACCATTCCAGGAATGAAACCATGGACCATGGAGAGATAGCTAGCTAATAGTAAAGAGAATGCAGATCTTACAAAAGGAAGACAATCACATTCCCCCCAGTCTGGGAGATATATTCTCTGAAGGAACTGAAGGGAAGGAATCTGCCCGCCTGGTTCCCCTGGCCTCTAAGAGAGTGAGCCACAGTGGACTCTATCTCTGTGTCCAGAAAGGACTTCGCAGTGCAAGTTGCAGGAGGTGGAAGTACAAACTGTCCAGCCTAGGGCTCTAAAATTCCCCCTTCAGATCTCAGCCTGGTAACAATGACCTTGGCTCTCTGGCCACTCAGGGACTTTGACCCTCTGGTTACATTGCCAACGAGGTGGCTGTGCTCCCGTGGTATTAGCAGGAGAAAAAGGGTGACCTGCCTGCCACACCTCTGCCAAGCACCTAGACTGGCCTGCCACAGGCGGGGTGGGAGAAGGGAGGATCCCAGGACACGTGTGAGCTGACACATGCCATGCCACTGTGTCTGCAGAGGCACATGTCTTGCTCACCCACTGACACACACTAAACTGGGTAGGGCGGCCCTAAAATAGCTCAAGGTTGGTCAGGGTGAACCCAGCTCCTTGGAAAATAGTTGCACAACAGATCAGCTCCCACGGTTTCAGGGCTGAGGTGGGGGATGGAATCATTAGGTGGCGGTAAATGAAGTTGACCTAGTTCACCCATCCACCCATCCCCCAAAAGAGAGTGAGACCTTCATGCAGAGGCTTCCAACGTGGAAGTGAGGAGCACACTCAAAAGTGTCTAGGTCCAGGTCTAGACCCATCACTACCAACTTATTTTGTGACCTAGAAAACATCAACTCCCCTCTTTGGGTCTCAGTTTTCCTTTTCGTGAGAAAAAAGGACAATATCATTTCAGCTATGAGTGTGCGGTGCAGTTGCTTTGGGGAGCCCTTTGTAGGCACACTGCAGCTTGTTTGGTGGAGATGGGGGTAAGACAGTGCTCGCAGAACTAAGTAAAGAGAAGCTTGGAGAAGAGAGAATTTGGAATGTGGGGAAGCTGAGTCTAAATGAAGTGCAGTGAAGTAGATGCAAATAAGAGTGAAGGAAAAAGGAGTGACAAGGGTGGTTAGGGGTGAGGTCTCTTTAGGGAATGTAAAACAGAAGGCCATGAGAGGTCAGAGATCGCTCCATGTTACTTTGTTTTGGTGATGAGGAGGAGGGGGCCGGGCAGGCGGACCGGAAAAGGAGGCAGGCGGGGGCGGTGAGTCAGCCCAGCTTCACCCAGATCTCGGCGGGGCGGGGCAGGGCGGGAGCTGGGCCCTCAGCCGGCCTCACGTCCCCGCTCCACGTGTGCCTCTCGCACGTGGCTCCCCAACGAGGAACCCCGGAACTCGAGGCCCCGCCCTCCTTGCTTCCCGTCAATCGAGAGCAGTAGCCCCACCTCCTCCCCGCCTCTCCCCGGCGACCGGGTCGTGGGCTGGACCCCGAACGCTAGCAGGACTAGGACAACCTAGGGGAGGGGAGAAGGGAACACGCGTTGCCGGGGCGACTGGGGGGCGGAGCTCATTATGTAACGAGGCCGGGAGGCAACAACCAATGGGGTGGCGGCCACGGCTTCTGCTGAATGAAAACAAACGCAGCACGTGGGCCCGGCTCTAGAGCCATGTGAGCCCTCCCGGTGGCCGGGGCCCTGTAGGTGCCCTCCCTCGGGCCGGGCACCACGCTCTGGACTCCTCAAGTGTCGCTCCCTCCTGTCACTGAGGATTCCCCAGTGAGATCCGAACGATTCTCCCAGCCCCTCCTTCCCTGAGCCCCGAGCCACTGCTTCTCAGATTCCCTCGCGCCTGCAGGAACTAGAGGAAGGGGAAGACAGGAGGGGAGGAGGTTCGTTTTCTGAGGCCAGGCATACCACAGCTGCAGGTAGTGGACAGATGGGGCCGTTTCGGGGCACTGTTCCAAAGCTCCCAGTCCCCCTAAATTTTTCGCTTCACCACCCATACCTTCTCTCCATTTCCACCCGCCCCGAGATTCAAGGCTCAAGGGAGCTTTGGGACTCTGAGGGGTGGTGATGGGGCGTTTCTGAGAGCATTCCCAGCCCGAACAAGTCACTCTGGAAATCCCACATTAAAGCCCCGCAGCATGTTAGCAAATCTCCGGGCCAAGGGACTCCCCGGTCCCTTACAAAGTTCCTCTTGTTATAAGGCGTAGATGGAGGTGGGAATACAGTGACAGGAAAAAGATGATAGTAAAGGAATCTCAGTACCTGTGTTGTTGTTGGAGTCCAGGGTCGTCATGTCTTCACCGGCTGAGAGCGGTCATTCAAACTGGACCTTGACTCAAACTAGAGGTTGCGATCACCGCTTTGCCCCCTGGGCACTGGCTAAGGGTGGGGAGAGGACCCCGCGACTCACGATCAGGATCCGAAGCACCCTGCAGCAAGGTCTTGGGGTGGCCGGACTGCAGCCCTGGAGAAGGGTTGGACGTTGAGGCAACGGAGTTCTGCTTTGCATGGGAAGAGCAAAGAGAGTATGTAGGGGGAATTAGCCTGCAGTAATTCTGGCTAGAAGGTAGCAAGGAGCGTCGGGTCTCTGCAGCGTACGGGGTGCCTCTGCCTGCCGGCTCCGCAGCGCTGCGGGGTAGCGAATCTGGAGCTCCCAGTGCACAAGTCCCAGAGAGAGAGAGATTGCAACCAGGAAGTAAGTAGGTGATGGGAAGAAACGGGGCACCGAGTCGCAAAGAGGCGAGACGTGTGCCCTGCTACGTTCCCTCGGCAGTAATATTTCACTCTGCCAATCTCAGCCGCCTTTTGCCCGAGCCTTTCCCTGGGACAGAGGGCTCTGCGCAGGCGCCAACAGCCCAGGGTTCCCGGGCCGCACGCGGCACTGGAGCAGGTACCATGTGATCCCAGGGAGCGCCTCGTGCCCCAGTGACACACTTTTCCAACAGCCGGCACGTTGAGCTCTGTGCGCCTGCGCAACGACGAGACTGTCGGGATTTGTAGTCCACTGACAAAGTGGGCGGACTGCGTGCCTTTCCTCTTTCAGCCTGGCAAAGCGCTTACCGGGACCTGGGAGGAGCTGAGAGTGGGGTGGGGTGCGCTGAAGAGTCAGGGTGGCGTGTTTAGAAAGCCTGTATGGCAGGGGCATGTGAATTTCTGGGGAGGGACTGGCAAGCTTGGCTGCTCTCTGGGAGATCAAAGCTAAGAGGCCCTTTCTGCAAACCTTGCAAACGTGAGGGCTTCACGTGATTGCGGGACTGACCTCGTCCTGAGGTTACTGGTGACCGGGAGAGAGAGAAGCCAGGGAGGGAGATTTCCCTGGAGTCAGGAGCTTAGGCTGCCCTCTGCTTAGGGGCAAAGTCCAGAGAAGGAAAGGAAATGTGACCCCCTTTCCCTTCTACTCGTCCTAGAGAGAACACCTCCAGGGGAAGGAGTTGCCACAGAGGTAGGGATGTCTGTAGGGACTCCCTGTTTGCTTGTATGACACCATTCCACCCACTCCACTTGACTTTGGGGTGAGTCATTTCCCTTTGTCTGGGAAATAAAAAGGACAACAGAGGGGAACTAATAGTGAAAGTGCTTTGAGATCCTAAAGTAATGAGCAAGATGTGAGGCAGGCGGTGGGGGCAGAGTGACACCCTTGCCCCTCGGTGCTGGAGGGTAGAATATGAATTCCACAGAAGATTACTACTCAGAGGGGAACATGTAGATCATCTTAAGCCTCCCTCTTTTTACTATTGGGGAACAGGAGGCTTAGGAGAAGTGACTGGCCCAAGGTCAGACGTCCATTGCTAGTTTCATCTGCCCACCCCCAACAGGGAGGTGGTAGATGAACAAGTGAAATACTGAACAGGGGTTAGAAACAGCCAGCATTGCTGGGCGTGGTGGCTTATGGCTGTAATCGCAGCACTTTGGGAGGCTGAGGCGGGTGAATCACTTGAGGTCAGGAGTTCAAAACCAGCCTGACCAACATGGTGAAACTCCGTCTCTACTAAAAATACAAAAATTAGGCAGATGTGGTGGTAGGCACCTGTAATCCCAGCTAGTCAGGAGGCTGAGGCAGGAGAATCCCTAGAACCCGGGAGGCGGAGGTTGCAGTGAGACGAGATTGCCATTGCACTCCATTGCACTCCAGCCTGGGGGACAGAGTGAGACTCCGTCTCAAAAAAAAAAAAAAAAAAAAAAAGACCGGCATTTCCCTTCAGAGCAGCTGTCCCATGAGTAATAACAGATCTCAAGTAGAGGAGATCTATCATGTTAGAGGGCTTGGGACATGGAGCGGATGGAAACTTCTTCAGGCAGTGAAGGGAGAGGGAGCCTGAGCCACCTGCTGCTCCTGCTAACTTCTTCCCCAGGCCCAGTGCTTCTAGGGAGGTTTTTCTTCATCTAGAAAGTCCTTCTCTACAGGCAGCCCCTGGGATGGTATTGATGGATGCCTGGGAAACATGAAAGTCACCAAAAAGGTAGAGAAAAAGAATATGGGAGGCCAGGGGTAGTGGCTCACACCTATAATCCCAGGATTTTAGGAGGCTGAAGTGGGCAGATCACCTGAGGTCAGGAGTTTGAGACCAGCCTGGCCAACACGGTGAAACCCCATCTCTACTAAAAATACAAAAATACTAGCCGGGCATGGTGGCGGGCGCCTATAATCCCAGCTACTTGGGAGGCTGAGGCAGGAGAATCACTTGAACCCAGGAGATGGAGGTTGCAGAGGGCTGAGATCGTGCCACTGCACTCCAACCTGACCAACAGAGTGAAAGTCCATCTCAAAAAAAAAAAAAAAGTCAAGTGCAGTGGTGGCTCACGCCTGTAATCCCAGCACTTTGGGAGGCGGAGGCGGGTGGATCACCCGTGGTCAGGAGTTTGAGACCAGCCTGGCCAACATGGAAAAACCCTGTCTCTACTAGAAATACAAAAATTAGCTGGGCGTGGTGGCGGGTGCCTGTAGTCCCAGCTACTCGGGGAGGTTGAGGCAGGAGAATCGCTTGAACCTGGGAGGCGGAGGTTGCAGTGAGCTGAGATTGCGCCAATGCACTCCAGCCTGGGCAACAAGACCGAAATTCCGTCTCAAAAAAAAAAAAAAAAAAAAAGATGAAGAATATGGACACAGGAGTAAACAGGGTAGTGAGGACAGTGAGTTTGACTGCAGGAGCTTGACCACTCACCCACTGACTCCTTGTAGAAGATGAGCTTCCTAGAATGGGCTAGGCTTTAGCTTTGTTCCCCTGCTCCCAAGAAAAGTGGGGAGAGAGGGCAGTGGGCTCTTCTCTGGCCCTTTGGCCCAGAGTTGGGAAGCTGCAGCAGAGCATGGGAGAGACTGGGAGGGGCTAAAACAAACAAGGAAAGAGGCTTTTCAGGAAAACTTGGTTCTGAGCTCAGCCTCCACCCCCTCTCCCTCTGCCCTCTGGGCTCTGGAGGGAAAGCTCGGAGGTAAGTTGCCATGTCCTGCTCCTGCCTGCTCTCTGTCACCTTGACTCCAAGTCAGAGCCAGGACCAGAGCCCAGGTGTCTGTCAGGACTGGACTCAAAATCAGGACCCCTGGCGTGCATCTAGCTCCCCACAGCCCAGCACCAGCACTAGCACCCTCCCTTTACTTGCCGTGGGTCCTCCCCAAGGCCCACAGCTCTATTGCTGCTGTGGTGGTCCTGCCCACCCCCTGTATACTTGCTGGGTGTTTGTTCCTCTAGGAGGGGGAGCCGGGGTAGGTCAAGACTCCTTCCCCGCTGCAACCAGTGAGAAGGAGGAGGGAGCAGAGATAGAGAGAGCTGAAATTCAGTCAGCCTGACACTCCTCTTGGCAAAACCTGGGTGGTTCTGCAGTCTGTGTGTGGTGTGAAGGCAGAGGCTGGGAGGGAGGGGGCACAGGAGAGGGGTTACCCCCTGCTCCTTCCTTTGCATTTCTTAAAGGGCCCCTCCTTTTTTCCCTGACAAATAAGTAATTCGGGTGTCTTTCTTCTACAGCTGGTGAGAGGAATACAGAATGAAAAGGCAGTGTTCTCCCTTGGCTCCAGAAGCTTCTAGTCAGTCTGTGCCTGCTTCTTTCTCTGTCAGCAGCTGCTGGGAGAAGGGCAGAAACTATGTGACCCAAAGCCACCAAAGGGAGGGGGGAAAGGCTGGGTTGTCTGGTTCTGGGGGATCCGGAGTAGAATCTTGGCTTCTCTTTGACCTCAGCCTTGACCGTAAGACCTTAAGATCTTAAGACAACAGGTGCATCTCAACACAACCTTCTCCCCTGCCCCTCCAGCTGGACATTGCTGTTCACTTCTTTTTTTTTTTTTGAGACAGTCCCACTCTATTACCGAGGCTGGAGTGCAGTGGCTCACTGCAACCTCCACCTTCTGGGTTCAAGCCATTCTCCTGTCTCAGTGTCCCAAGTTGCTGGGACTACAGGCACACGCCACAACGCCTGGCTATTTTAAAAGTATTTTTAGTAGAGATGGGGTTTCACCATATTAGTCAGGCTAGTCTCAAACTCCTGACCTCAGGTGATCCACCTGCCTCAGCCTCCCAAAGTGCTGGGATTACAGGCGTAAGCCACCACGCCCGGCCTGCTGTTCACTTCTACACACACACACACGTACATACACACATACACATATACCATTTCTCCCATAGCCCAGTTCAACTCAAGAAAGGACTGAACTCTTCATAAATAGTACTCAGATTGGATCCAGGTAGAATAGCATATTCACAATCTGGTACAGCAAGGCACTGCCCTGGTTCTGCATACACTTCCACTTGGATTCCCGAGTCTGGGATTCTGGGGACGAACCTTCCCATTAAGGGCCGTGTTGGATCCTGCCTGTGTGTTTCCAAATATGTCTTTAATTTTCCTTGATTTCTTTGGACTTCAGAGGACAGCAGACACAGAGGAGAAGAAGGAAAGGTATTTAGAACACTAAGCTCTGGTCAGTTATGTATTTGTGCATGTGTGTGTGTGATTGTATGACGGTGAGTGAGACTGCATGTGTGTAAGTGTGAATGCTGTGTGTATGGGTGTGCGTGTTTGATCTGAGAGCTCTTCTCCCTGTCAGAAGGTTGTTCTGGGTAACAGGGCAACACCCAGTGCAAATTCTGGGTGGCCTAAATCTTGGGCCAACTGCTTGACTGACTGACTGACTGACTGAGGGTGGATCCTTGCTGGAAACAGGTCAGGCTTCTGTAGGTGCCTTCCCATCCCCCTCCTTTCTCACCAAGGAACCATTGCCCAGAGTAGAAACCTGTCTGCCCAGGTGATGCAAACCTGGTATAGAAATGCTGGGGATGCCCCTGAATCAGGGAACCAACCATGTGCCTGGGAAAGGCTCACTCCCTGCCCTCCTAAATCGTTTTCCTTGTCTCTAAAAGGCCAGCTGTCTTTCTCTACCCCACCCAAAGCCTGGATGTTTTGGGGAGAACTTTAAGAACATGCCACAGGAAGGACAGAGTCTGAGCTAACTTGCTTCTCTGTGTGGTGGGGGGAGGGGGATGGAGAAAGAAAGGGCGAGGCACGAGCCAGGGCTGGGTTCCATGGATGTGTTTTGCCTCAGATTCTATCTTTACCTCACTACTGCTTTTTCCAAGGAAAGGAAACCATAAATATGTATTAAGTACCAACCGTATGCCAGGCACTGTGCAAAGTGCTTTATACACATTATCTCATTTAATATTCACAACAACCCTATGCTGTAGATCTCATTCTTATTTTAGAGATGGGGAAACTGAGACTTACAGAAGTTTATTAACTTGCCCAGGGTGCCAGAAGGTCTAAGTGATTAGTCTGGAAAGTTGTAATTTGCATAGCACTTAAGACTGAAAAGATGGCCGGGCGCGGTGGCTCAAGCCTGTAATCCCAGCACTTTGGGAGGCCGAGGCGGGTGGATCACGAGGTCAGGAGATCGAGACCATCCTGGCTAACATGGTGAAACCCCGTCTCTACTAAAAATACAAAAAACTAGCCGGGCGTGGTGGCGGGCGCCTGTAGTCCCAGCTACTCGGAGGCTGAGGCAGGAGAATGGCGTGAACCTGGGAGGCGGAGCTTGCAGTGAGCCGAGATCGCGCCACTGCACTCCAGCCTGGGTGACACAGCGCGAGACTCCGTCTCAAAAAAAAAAAAAAAAAAAAAAAAAAGACTGAAAAGATGTCACATCAAAGAATGATAGCGCTGATGGAAATTATTGGGGGGGGCTAAAGCCCCCTCCAGCTATCTCTTGGAACTACCACTGTCAGTGTCACAATGAAAATGGCAATGCTGGGGATTCAATCCCAGTCCTGAAGATAAAACTCTTTCTACTAGCAAGACTGCCCCTCCTAGAGAGAGAGATTACTGCCACCCTAGGGGAATGTCTGAGCAGCAAATTCATCCTGGTGTTTCCCAAGCAATGGTGATGTTCGGAAGTGGGATATATCACCAAGAACAGAAGCCTGAAGCACCCCCTTGTTCCTGTCCCGGGGAGTACCTTGGCTTTCCAAAATCTCTCTTTTAACCCCAGGCACATTTCCTCTTCCCCTAAACTCTTCCCACTCCCCGTCCTACATTTCCCTCATCTGGTTCTAAAAGTAGAAGGGGCAGGAACAGGGTGCACAAACCACAGACTGCTACAGAGGTGACTAACAGAAGCAGGCACCTGAACTCTGTTCTCGACCCAAACCCTCGGGATTTGAGGTCTGCTGCTGGTGGTGAAGAGAGTGGGGCAAGTTTGGTCAGGGCCCTCTAAAGTCCCATGGTGCTTCCTTCCAGGAGCTGTATCAAGAAGATTGGTTGAGGGAGTGTGTGGAAGGCCACCAAGGACCGACAAAAGTTGTGTCCAAAGCCTTAAGGAAACAGCATCCCACTTCCCCATTTACCTGCTTTGAGGAACATGTACCTCTAAAACCAGCCCTTCCGAAAACCACTGTCCTGCACCAATGCTTCTTCAGCAG